CAGAATCTGCACATATATTCTGTACATGTATTAAACTGTAAACAAACTATTTACAGCCTGTAACTCCATAAGGGTACCCAAACCCACACTATTAACCAACAAAGTCTGATCTCCATGGTGAAATAAAACCTTGCCAATTTTCCCAATAATTTTTAAGATTTCCAGATTCAAATCTGAAGGAAAAAGTCAGCCTTTCCATAATATAAATATTATGTATATTTCAACCCAATCTTCCCAATCTTTTAGGAGTTTCTGTCTTCAGCACTTTCCTAGTAATGGCTTTTTTGCTTGCTACCAACATATTCCTATAAATATATTTATCAGCAGCTCTTGTTAATCTTTCCATCCCTCTCCCCATGTACAGATCATCAAATTTGAATGGATTACTCACCTACAGTACCTTATCCATACAACTCTTTAAATCCTGCCAATAGGGGACCATGTAGGTACAATCCCAAAACACATGGAAGTGGCCTGCTCTGTCCTCTCCGTACTGCCTCCAACATTTGGTATCTCGGTATTTTGTTTGTGCTGGTGTACTGAAATATCTTACAATATTCTTCCAGCCAAACTCTCTCCACAAAGGGGAACAAGATGTTCTCCACTGTTGCCTACATATCTCCTCCCAGTTCTCCTGAAAATGTCCACAGTTAGCATCTTTTTCCCATCTTACTATTATGTATATCGTATTGCTTTTCTTCAAATTTTCCAATCCTGTGTACAATCTAGATATTTTCTTCCCCAAGTTTGATTCATTTGCCGAAATAAACATCTTTAATATACCAGATTCCAGCTCAATTTTTTAATAATTCTTCTGTAAAGTGCCTCAATTGTAAGTACCTGAGGAAGACCTTGTTGTTTAAATCGTATTTATTCTTTATTTCTTCAAAGCTGCGTATAGTATTTCTCTTAACCACCTCCCAGAATATATTTGGACCTTTTTCCCATTTACTAAATGTTTTATCTGTTACATTAGGTTTAAAATCTGAATCATATGCTATTCACCTCAGTACTCTACTCTGTCAACCCATATTTTAAAATAATTGTATTCCATATGTCAAGGATTTGACTCCTCCCTAAGGTGTTTTCTCAGCTTGTTATCATTTATTATGGCTTGTAGAGGTATCGTGGGTGACATAGCACATTCTATAACTTTCCATTTCGCAGTGTATAATGGATTGCTTATGTTGAGGAGAGGAGCAAGCTGTCTTGATCTATTATTGATAGATCTTTGGTATTAATTTATTTAATCTATTTATAGAACTGCTTTTTTATTGCCTGAACACCAGTTAACTTTGTGCTATTGCATTACTGTAACAGTTGTTTAGCCATCTTTCTGTATGAAGGCCAACCTGTGGATTTTTCTGGTCTCTCCAAAACCCTAATATCCTTCCATATGCTTACTTTTTCATTTTTGGAAATGATCAGTAATCGGCAACTGAGCAGAATTAAAGCACGTAGTCCAAGCCAGCCCTGGTCATTTTAATAAGCAAAATATGATTTGGGGGTTAATATTTCTTAATATGTATTGCTGCATTCAATAGCTGGATTATATATTTTATAAAAAAAATTTTTTTTATTAATTGGAGATATGAACGTGCTGTTTACAGTCTCATACCAGTATGTAACACCTAGTGGTACTATAAGTGATAAAAATATCAATCCCTGGAAATACACATGTAATTTATTACCCTTTCTGGGTTTATTACCAACCTGTTACAAGATAATTATCTTTCATGGCTGTTTTCCTTTTTCAAAATTGCAGATAACAGGAAATACAAAATATTAAGCATATCGTTTTATTAATCCATGCAGAGAAAAAGGGAGTCCATCTTGTCACATATTCAAGCATAGTTTGTTCTGTGTTTAGCAAAAAGCAAATGCATTTACACAGTATTAGAGTTGTTGCAGTTATCAAAGCAAACATTGAAAAAATCCTGAGATGATCACAGAAGAGGTACAGCTCACACTGTAGTCCACATCCAATACACCTCCAGCAATCTGGTCAAATGCAAGAAGGCACCTGTGAATATCGATATCACACATTTCATCTTTTTTTATCAGTCACCTGACATGAATGTGGCTGGACAGAAAAGGGAAAAGTTTAATTTCATTTAGATTCAAATTTCTTATCAGTCTAACTGTTCATTTTAAATGAAGGTTTCTGACTTAGCCTTAAATAAGCAAAAACAGCTGCTGATCAAACGTGCTGTTGCTTTTAACATCTGCTCCACATGGGCTGCTCCCTAGCTTTTTTCTTTAGACACCACATTCTTGTTGGCTTTCTGCAGTTCCTCTTCAGCTATGGGTTCAATGATGGTACCAAGATGGGTCACCACCCTGGGTTTGGTGACTTTTTTCACGGTTCGCTCCGTGTTCCACGTACGGCCCAGCGGTGAGCGGATACAGCTTTCAAACTGTGTGGAGTTCTCAAAGGGGAAGGGCAGGGAATGAACCTGGTGCAGGCTGATGGAGGCACTCTTCTTCTCAGAAATGATGACACTGGGAAGATGCTGGTCCTTCCTAGGTGGAGGAGGAGCACCCTTGAACCTAAACCTTCTGCGCTTTCTTGTTGGTAGTTTAAGACCCACACCTCCCCAATGCCCCCAGCCAGGCAAGGTCAGGTCTATCACCTTTGGCTTCCCTTCGTCCTCCTGCCTCCTTTTATCTTTAAGAAAGTCTGAGATAACATCATCTCCAGCAAAAGCTTCCTTAATCAGTCCCCTTTGGTCAAGCTTAGCTTCTGAATTCTCTGAGTCTGTGATCGTTGGAGTGAGTGGAACTTTGATCATATTTGTTTCCTTAGTAAGAACTTCTTTTAGCTCAATCCCTTTCTTCTTCTTCTTCTTCTTTAGTTTGCCTACTGATTTCCCTTCCGAGGGTGGGGCTTTGGTGGTGCCGGGATGCTTTTCCTCAGCTGATGGTTCATGATGGAGAAGTTCCAGGTCCTCCACAGTTCTGATCCTCTCCAGCCCCTCCTCCAGCTGAGCTGACTCATCATTGATGTCAGCAGAGGGGACTCCTTGAGTGTCTTTGGAGTTGTTCTCCATTCTTCTGGGGGGGGTTGTTATCTCTGCGGGGTCATTTTCATCGCTGTCAGAAGCTGCTGAATCTTCTGTTGCAGCCCTCTCCTGCAGGTTCCTCCTGCGGTCAAACTCTCTGAGGAGGGCCTCCTCCTCCGTTTCCTCAGCTTCCTGCTCCTCTTCTTCTTCCTCAGCAGCTACTACCTCTCTTTCCTCTGTCTCTGTAATTTTAAGTTTCTCCTGTGTTGGCTCTTCAGTTAGTTTTCCTTTCATCCAGGGATTTAATGCATCTCGCATGTCTACTGCATCATTAACAAAGTCAGGGAGAACTTCTGCATCACATTCTCTCCCCTCCTCCTCCTCCTCCTCATTCAATGGCACCACCAGCTTCTGAGTGAGCTCTCTGTTCATTTCCAGCTGCTGCTGCATGGCTTTGCGAGCCTCATCGTCGTATTTGGCCATGATGGCCTTTGATTTGGCCCATTTGCTGCTGTTCTGATGCTTTAAAGACATCCTCTCCTGCATCCTGGCTAGCTCCATCTTGTTGAGCTCCTGCAGGGCAGCTGCTGGGTCAGTTTTCACCATCTGGTCAAAGTTCTTCAGGAACTCTTTGCGTTTGGCCTTGTTCTGCACTTTGTGATACTTCTTGCTTTTGATTTTTCTCTCTCTCCGAGCCTTGGCCTCATAGTAGGACTGAAGGATCCGAGCTTTTTGCAGCTCTGCACGACGGATCTTGGCTTCCTCCAGACTCATGGCCTTTACTGAAGCCTTTTCTGCAGGGGTCAGGACCGGGTCAGTCAGGGGCTGTTTGTTAGCAGACAACAGGGCAAAGACTTCCTGCTCCAGTGGAGTCTTAGCCTTCCATCCAGCTACCAGTGTCTCTACTGGTTTGGGGCCAGCCGGCTCCTGACTGAGAGGGAAGACCAGCTGCTCGGCCTTGTTGTTCTGAATGATGATGCTGTCCCAGCGGCTCACCTCTGATGCTGCCTTCTGGAAAGCCATATCCCTCTGGATTCTCTCGGTCTCCTGCTTACTAAGAGGAGAGTCGAGGGTTTTATTAATGTGCTGCATTTTCTTCAACTCTTTCTTCCTTTTATTTGGAACAGCGGAGGTCTTCTCTAGGCTCCCGATCAGATCGGCCAGCTCCACCTTACCGGGCCCCCCCTCGGTGTTTACGGAGAACTCAGACATGTGTACAGCCGCCTCAGACCTCTCTCCCAGCGTTTTCTTCCTCTTTCCACCCAAAGCGCTGATCGCCTCCAGAAGTTTTTGCCGTTTTCGTTCATCTTGGCCCTCGTCCTCCTCACTACTGGTGACCTCTTCCTCAGCTCCATCCATACCCTCCTCTGCTTCCTTATCCTCCACGCTGGCAGCAACACCACAGCTCCTCTTTAACGTATTTTTATTCCGGTTTTTCCTAGAGACACTCGCCATGCTGGAATCCACGCCGCTGCTCAGTCACGTGTGTGCCGTAAACACAGTCACTGTCGTGAACCGTTGTCGTCATAAGAACAAAAGTGTCGCAAAAATGTTTCTTTTTTTCCAATGAACTTTCTTTCTCAGGGGTTCAAAAAATAATTTTTTTTCACAAAACAACCTCTAAAATCTAAAGTCCACGTTAACAGATGGATACTATACAAATCATTCGGTTAAACAGTGATTTATTAAACTATACAGGAGGAAAAGAAACATCCTGCTGCTTCAGCTTTTGTCCTCTGGAGGGCGCCACAGGTCTTCCTCTTATCCCACCTTTGTGATGATTATTTAGGAACTGTCAGGCGTAAATTTCCCAAAAGATGACAATACACTATCAATATTTCAGTTCGTACTAATAAGCTACGTTAATTAACAGCAACCCCCTCCCCCCAGAATATCCCAATCAAATCTATTTAAAAACATGACTACACGAGCTAAATGATTTATCCATGAGCCTATTGAGTCTCCTCATTGTGACTTCCAAAATAATTTAATCATCTTTGTATGAATGAGTCTCTTGCAGAAAAACAGTCTTTGTGTTACAAGTTTGCTGTGCCCCTCCAGTTGATCCAGGAGAAGTGAGGGAATCAGACTCATTCTGTGTCCTGTACAGCACTATGCTTTTGGGTTCTTTAAATGTATACATGTAAACAAGCTGCTTATTAACAGCAAAATCTCTCATGTTCCAATCAAAGCAGGAAAAATAATTGAATAGTTCCGATGCACAATAAATTTCCCTAGCATTACATAAATTGAATTGGCCTTGAATTGGCACTATATAAATAAACTGAATTGAATTGAATTAACACGCAGTCAACTGTGTATGTAGTATATAGCTATGTACTATTTATTGTATATAGTATATAGTATGTTTCATATTGTACGTGGCTATAGATCTGTATTCTGTATATATATCTAATTTGTCTGCATCATCCACATCAAGTCACACAAGTCAAATTCCTTGTAAGTGCAAACCTACTCGGCAATAAATTTCATTCTGATTCTGATCCCTAATCTACAATGTCATCAACCTCCATGATGTTATGATGCAAACCAAGGGCATAGGTTTGATTTCAACTTTGGTAGGGACACTATTCTTCAGTTTCATTGGTCCTTTGCAAAAAATATGCATGCTCTTTTTTATGCTTAATGTGAGCTTCAGGGCTCATTTTGTTTAAAGAAAACAGCAGCATTTCTTGCTACATTAATACAAATCTTATAAGCACTACATGCACTAGCTGCTGTTTATCAATATTTAAAGCATC